ATCTTATCCAGGTCCTCATTTTGGTGAAAGTCTTGGCCTATTATCAATTTGATATCATTTTAATGAAACCGTTGGAGATAAAAATGTGCATTTTTTCACCAAATTCAAATTTGGTGATGAATCTAATACAATGTTGGAGATGGTTTTAGTAGCTAGGAGAAATGGCAAGCGAGCAATTGATTTATATCTATTTATGTGAATTAAAGAATCGACTTAACATGAAGTAAACGACTTTTAAGGTGGTTGGAATATTGCCCAAAGAACTCCACATCCAAAGCTAACATTTGTCCTATTTAGTGCAATTTATATAACATAGGAGGTAAAGATAATTTAAATAAATTAAAAATAATAATTAGTATTATTAAAAAATTATATAAATTATATTTTTAATTTCTTCTTATTTATCATAAACTTTTAATTTATAATAAACTACATCAAATATAACTATTGTGCTAGTTTATAAAAGTTTATGAGTTGGTAAATTTGTATTTTTATTTTTTGTAAGATATTAATTTATAAGTAAAGTTAAATTATAATTAAAAGAGGAGTCGTTATTTAATCAACTTTAATCTCATCATATCTTAAAACGTGACTACGAGGCTATTGGGCCAAACCTAAAGCCAGGATTAGTATTATTCAAAGCACACAATAATGTTGTATTATTAGGGGGACCCATTTCATAATCAAATCATTCTCAAAGCATTAAACAAATACAATATGATGCCCATGGGTGGATAACTATGAAAACTTCATATGGACTTGGTTTCAGTCCCACATCGGATGAGTTTGAAAGAGGGAATACAAAGGCCAGTGTATAGAAAAGGAGTAAGAGCAACATGGAACCATACTTACCTGGACGGGGTCAATGGACGATCAAGAAGGTCCATGGCCTAGGTTAGTGACCTCCATTGCACTTGAGGAGGGGTGCTTGCCTAAGATCTACCCAAGTGGTGGAGTCTACGTCATAATTTGTGGTAGTGGGGGCCTGCGTTCGCGCGGCCCCTGTCTAATTGAAGTCTAAATTTTTGCTGTTTTTAAAGTCTTAAAATTTATTTATTTGCTTATGCAGTAGGTAAAAATGTTATAACAGTAAGTAAAAATGTAATAATGATGATAATTAAAGGTTAGTTTTTAGTATTTTTGAAGTTAGATATAATGTTTTGTAAGGGTTTGATTGGTAGGGATAAATATTTATGATTTATGTTGTGTAATGCTAAGTAATTGGTAAAGAAGAGGGATAAAGATTTATGATTTATATTGGATGATAAGAGATTATGATTTATGTGATGATAAGAGAATAATATAATGCTTAGTAATTGGTAAAGAAGAGGGATAAAGATTTATGATTTATGTTGGATGATAAGAGAATAATATAATGCTTAGTAATTGGCAAAGAAGAGGGATAAAGATTTACCATTTATGTAAAGTTCATGATTTATGTTTTATGTTGGGCGATAAGGTAAAAACATGGGATTAAATAATTGGTAATTAACTTGGAGTATGGCCAGTGGCGTTTTGGAATTATTGAATAATTTTTCAGTAATTAATTTATTTTTGTTTTTTATTTATATTTTATGATTATTAATGTATTAATGTTTTATTTGTTTGGACATAAAATATTTTTTACTTTGAATTTACTTTTTCAAAAAATATTTTTTTTCTTTGTTAGGTAATGGTGAAATGAAGTTAGAGGTAGTAGGGCAACTATAGCGGTGGAGGTGAGAGTGGTAGTAGTACGGTGATATTTGTAAAATTTTAATTAGGAAAATATTGTTTGCCTTTTGAAAGGGAAAAATATTTTCTATCTAAATAGACTTGTTTTTCATTAATTATGAAAAGTGTTTTTCATTGACTTTTATTTTTTATTATACCAAATATTAGAAAATATCTTTTAGCCAAACAAAGAGAACGTAAATGAGAAACATGAAGATGAACTTGGGTGTTTTTCCAAGCTTCTTCTCATCTTTTCACTTCCAAATGAAACATTTCTTGCTTAAACTCACCAATCTTGCACCAGTATTAGGAGTGTGTAAAATATCATTCAATCCGTTAAAATTACATCAATTTATATCAACCTGCACTGCTTAATCTGCTAAATGCGGATTAAATTTTAAAATTTATAATTCGCATTCAAAATCACTCTGTTCTGTTATAATTAATACATATATATATATATAATAAAATATCAAAATAAAAATGAGTTTAAGAGAGATTTAAGATGTGAAATTTATGACAAATTAATAGTTACATATATGAAACATATTATGTCAAAATTAGTTTGTGTTATGCTAATGCTTGATAATTAATTAGAATATTCTTTAATTTGTCAATTCATTCAAATTACAATTTGTCAATCCATCAAACCACCATTTGATTCATAATTTTACTTTTAAACCGTTCGAACCCCACTACGCGCACCCTAACCAATATGAAGTTACAGGCATCTACAAAGTCCCCTCTCCCTCACATGAATATAGAGAGCTTACAACCTAATCTTGTTATATCAATCTGCACCGCTTAATCTGCTAAATGCGGATTAAATTTTAAAATTTATAATTCGCATTCAAAATCACTCTGTTCTGTTATAATTAATACATACATATATATATAATAAAATATCAAAATAAAAATGAGTTTAAGAGAGATTTAAGATGTGAAATTTATGACAAATTAATAGTTACATATATGAAACATATTATGTCAAAATTAGTTTGTGTTATGCAAATGCTTGATAATTAATTAGAATATTCTTTAATCTGTCAATTCATTCAAATTACAATTTGTCAATCTATCAAACCACCATTCGATTCATAATTTTACTTTTAAACCGTTCGAACCGCACTACGCACACCCTAACCAATATAAAGTTACAAGCATCTACAAAGTCCCCTCTCCCTCGCATGAATATAGAGAGCTTACAACCCAATCTTGTTTTTCTTAGTTCAAAAAAAAAAAACACACACACACACACATTCTATCAAATTTGGGTTGTGTGGGGATTTTAAGTTTCTAGGTAGGAAAAGGCATTATTATGCTGTTTTAATTATTATTTTTTTTTGTTTTTAACATTGGAAATTTTGATTCTAATCTAGTTGAAGGGGAAGGGAAAGCTGAACATCAAACCCCACGACATGGGTTGGAACATCAAATTCTTATCCGTTGGGCCAAAGCCATAAATTTTTTTAATTAATTTTTTTGACATTAGAAATTTATGCTCTAGCCTAGTTGAACGGAGAGGTAGAGTCTATTGGGCAATTTTCATTGTATTTGAAAAATAAATTATATTTGTGTATTTAACAACAGACAAAAGAAATAAAGGAAAGGAAGGAGAATGTTTGATTACAAAAATCAAACTAGAAAATAAAATAAATAAACAAAACTAAATTTTTATTTTGTTACAAAAGCAAAATCAAGATCTGATATAAATAAATAATAAATCAGAAAATAAATTAGCAACTTACTTGGTTAATTTCTTGAACAAATTTTCTGATCAAATCCAGTGTTTAACACTATATTCTTAAGACAGATTTGTCCTCTCTACGGTACTTTCAGAATGTAGACGTTTATTTCTCAAGATAAAATGATCAGCCAACGAAAAATTGCAGCACTACAAATTTTTCGTACAACAAACACACTTAGTGTATACACTCTTTCTCATAGAAAATTAATGAAATTAATGCAGCAAAATGCAAAGATGAATTGTAGCAGACAAGACCGAAAATTGGAATGAAACATCAAATGAGGGCTGCCTATTTATAGATGATTGGTGGTTGTTTAGTTTAAATTTAACGGGTACAAAACCTGTTTGAACAGGTATTGAAACTGTTCGGGACAGATAAAGTAGTTAAGGCACTGTTTGGTTTAAAATTCAAACAGATATTAAAACTGTCCGGTTTTAATTCAAACAGATTGGAACCTGCTGGGTTTAAATTTAAACATAAATTGAATATGTTCGGGTGGGAAAAACTGGACAAATTTTATTTAAAAAAATAAAATCAATTTCAAATGTTTTTTGCCCAAAAAAATAGAGTATTGGGCCGAACAATACCAACCCAACCCAACCCAACTGCACACCCGCTCCCAAACCCAGCCTGCTTGCCTAACCGGACGGCGATGCGCGTGTGTTTATTTTGGATCCAATGGGTCTAGCACACTTTGCCCATAACCTCACTCTCTACAAAACTTGGGTGCCTCTCGGGGCCTGCCCTAAGTTCCAACTCCAAGTCTTATAAACTCACTCAAAGTTTCCTACCAAATCAATGTGAGACAAGCCTTAAACCAAACCTTTAGGAAATTTCACCAAAAACACAATCTCCATGGAGCTCTCTTTGGCTTCAATTTCTCATTCACCCAATAATGGTTTTGAGCAACCAAATATACCACGTGAATCACAACGCGGCATAGAACGCGTTACTACTTAGACCAGCGAAATTCGACATACAGGTCCCACCAAAAAATTAGACCAAAATTGAGGGAAAATTATGTTTTTCCAAAACTTTCAAAACCATTTCTAACAAAGTCAGGACTACTGGGCCAACTTCATTACTCACTATAATTGTGTTATTTTATGTTTATTTTGACAATGGAAATTTTTACTCTAGCTTAGCCTAGTTGAAGGAAAAGAGAATGTTGGGTATAGTATCAAGCCGCATGAGCTAAAGCATCAACGTTTCTATCCACCAAGACAACTCCATTAGTCACCATTATTATAGTGACATTAAAAATCTCTACTAACATAGTTGAAGGTGGAGGGAGGGAGGGAGAATTGGATATCGAGCACCGACACATGAGCTGAATCATCAAGTTTCTATCCACCAAGCCAACTCCATCACTCAAAATTATTATGCTTGCGGTCCTAAACCTGTTAAAGCTTCATCACATTACATGCCAAGCCACAACTTCATTGTAACTTTAGTCTTATAAAGTCCCACATAGAGTAAAACATTAAAGAATAGATGCCAATGTATGTGTAAATGAAGAGTAAGGTGCAACATTAACACATACTTACCTGGACGGGGTCGATGGGTGATCTAGAAGGCCCATGGCCTAGGTTAGTGACTTTCATTGCACTTGAAGGAGGGGTGCTCGCCTAAGGTCTACCCAAGTGGTGGAGCCTACGTCATAATTTGTGATAGCGGGGGTTTGCGTTCGCGCAGCCCCTGTCCAAATCTAGTTCTAATTTTGTTGTATGAATTCTTTGCTTGTTTATCACTCTAAATTCAGTTTTCTGTTTTTGGATGAATCAATCATTTAATTAGGATAGGATTGGCTGAATCAGTTTGTTTTGTATTTTCATACTTGTGTACAACTTTCCCAGGAAAACTAAAAAATGGAAATTTTGAAGCAATTTGTGAATCTGAACCTTGTCATTCATACACTTCATTTTCATGGTAACATTTTGGTTAGGTTTTCGTGATAACTACAATTATTGTTAAATGAAGTGCGAATCTGGGAAGGGAAAAGAAATAGAAAAAATAAAGAAGAAAAAAGCAACTAAAAATTTCCTTTATTTTTTCCCTTTCGTTTTTCTTTTTGACTCAACAACTTTCTCCTCAATCCGAACACAACCCAAGTCCCAATTAGCAAAATTATTAAGTGGGTCAAAAAAATCAAGTGTGGTTATATGCCCGCCCAACAACATATAATCACTAATCAGTGTGTTTGGTTTGAGTTTTTAAAATTAAATTTTTTAAAAATTGAGTTTTTTAATTTTCGTATTTTTTTATTTTTAGTGAATATTTTTAAAATTTTAAACATTTTTTTAATTTTTTAGATGCACCTTATTTAGATATATCTAAAAAGTAAAAAATTTGTGAAAAAATATTTTTAAAATTAATAAATACATAGAAATACAAAAAACGTACTGAATTCTTATATATACTTTTTTGTATTTTTGGTATTTAATGAATTTTAAAAGATTTTTTTTACAATTTTTTTACTTTTTAGGTGTATTTATGTTAGGTGTGTCTGAAAAGTAAAAAATTTGCTTAAAATATTAAAAAAATTCAGTAAAAACAAAAAAATATGAAAAATAAGAAAGTAAGGCTCTGTTTGGTGAAGTTCTGGAAAGTTAGTTTTAGAGTTTCATTTAAACATAATGTTTATTTAGGATTTTCAAAAATTAATTTCACACTCACTTTTGAAAACGCAGTCGGAGGCGGGAAAAATTTGGGCTACCGGTCATCCGGCCGGTTGACCGAAACAATGCAAATTTTTTTTTTTAATTTTTTTTTTTGCAATTGACACGTGTTAGTATTTATATATTCAATAAAAAAATATGTTTCAAATTTTTAAATTTTTTTATGAGTTTTAATAGAATTTTGAGTTGTGTGTTTAGTTATGAGTTGTAAGTTTTTGTATTAAATATCATATGTCACATCAAAAATTTCCAACTCAATTCAAAACTTTTTCACCAAATAAATTTTGTACACTTAAATCATAATTCCAAAACTCACAAACTCAAAATACAACTCTATTCTTAAATCATATTTAGAAAATTCTACTAAATGCAACCTAAAATTTTTTGAAAAGTGTTTTTCAAAAAATGGAATCAAGCAACTATTTTTGCTTGCGAGAAAAAATGGTCACATACCCCTTATTATTTGACGAATACAAACATGAACCCACAATGTTATAAAAACCCAAATAACTTCTCATGTAGGTATCAAATTGTGCAAACTTTTAAAGGTAAGGGTCGCTTGGTTTGGGTTTTCTAAAAATACATTTTAGAAAATTCAATTTTTTAAATTTTTCATATTTTTTTATTTTTAATGAATTTTTTTTTAATATTTTAAGTATTCTTTTAATTTTTAGACACACCTAACATAAATTCACTTAAAAAGTATAATTTTCGTAAAAAAAAATCTTTAAAAAATCCACTAAATATCAAAAATACGAAAATTCAATATATATTTCATGTTTTTGTGTATTTATTAATTTTTTGAAATATATTTTCATAAATATTTTACTTTTTAGATACAACTAAAAAAGTAAAAAAAAATATACTTAAAATTTTTAAAATATTTACTAAAAATAAAAAATATATATATGAAAAACAAAAAACTCAATTTTTAAAAAATTGAATTCAAAAAACTAAAATTAAACGCACTGAATATTTCTATTTTTGATAGTAACACCAAAATAATAATCTCAATGTTGACCATTTCACATTACTTTTAGCCGAATCAACAAATGAGGGTCTTATCAGTTAGACACATGAAAACAATTGTTACCAACTGAATAATTAGAATTGGAAATTAAGTTTATATTTAGGATTAATTTCATAAGGGTAGGCCCTGGACTGTGTATATTTGACTTATCCCAAACTCATAATGAAAAGAATCTTGTGGATTGAACTCTCCAAATTCAAATTGAAGTTACATTTTCAAATTGAATTGTTCTTCTTTCTATGGCCCATTGAACTACCTATGTCATCATAATTTGGTTAAGTTTTTAGAATTTTATTTTTATTTTTTAATTAAAAATTAATTTAACAAAAATAAATATTAAAAAAAAGATTTTCAAAATTATTTCCACCTAAATAAGAGAAAATCATGAGAAAAGAATGAGTGTTTTTATTTTTTATTTAATTTCTTTTACCAAATTATTTTTTAAAAAACAAAATCAGAAAACTCAACCAAACAAACCAAGGAATGTTGCAAAACTAGGTTTGGGGCATAAGGAGACAAAACATTATCAAATTATTCATGAAAAGAAGCAAATGGACTATATGGAAGCACCAGAAGTTGGTGTGATTGCTTTCCATATTTTCTGTTCGAATAATGCTTGGGAACCCCTTTTGGGGGTCACCCCCTCACCCTCCTTTGCCACGTGGCGGGTGATGATTGGAGGAGTAGGAAAAAAAAGAAAAAAGAAAAGAAAATGCAATCAATGAGAAAGAGAGAGGGTCAAAGGGGTTGGAAAAAAAGGAGGATGAATCATTATTGTTTTCTGTTCACACATTGAAAAGCAAAAGTAACGAACTTTTTAGTCCACCATTTTCAAAAGCAAAAGTAATTATTACCTCACCAAATCCACTACTTTGTTCAACTTGCCACATAATTATTTGTGACAATATTAGTTTAATAGTTTAACTAGCTTTAAGTTTTATTCTAGATAAAAACAAAAACAAAAACAAATATAATCTTATTAAGAAAAAGAAAAATAAATATTAATGAAAAAATATGTATAGAAAAACTAGTTTAGTCAAACTACTAATCTCTCTAATGTAACCAACCAAACAAGGGCTTGAGAGTGCTGATCTTATTGCTTGCAAAGCAAACAAACATGCCTACTTTGAAAATATACAATTATTGATTGATTAAAATAATATGATGAACGTTTTTTAAATGACAAATTATGGCATCCTTTGGTAAAGTGGTTGGGGTTAATTTAATTTATTAAAATACAATAGACTAAAAAGTTAATAACACAAAACGTTACATTCAAATCATAATCATTTTACTTTTTATCCCATAGACTACAAAAAAAGCCAAAAATTTATCTCAAACTAAACTTTTTTAGCCAAACTAAAATAATCAAAAAATCCAACTAAAAAAATTCATTCCAAACGAGGCCTATGGCACATTTTATCCATTATGTTATTTTAATTCCTACACTTTCATTGATTAAATTTTGACTCTTAGTTTTAAATTTTATATTAATTTGGTCTAATTGATAACTCTGTTGTAATTTTTAATAAAAAATAATCAGTGAGTTGATCAAATTTATAATTCTACTTATAAAAGCATGACATATGTCATTTATGTGTACATTTTTACACAAAAAAAAAAGAAGGAAGAAATATCAAATTAGTGCAACATTAAAAAAGCAATTACAATTCAGTAAGAAACTTTATAAATATTAATAAATAAAAATATAATTTTTTTTCCAAAATCTCAATGTGTGAAATTACCCCTAGAAAAATGTTAAACATTTTAATTAATCAGACTAAATTAATACAAAATAAAAGAATTTAATATCAAAATTAAATCAATTAAGATTATAACGATTAAAATTATATAAAAATTAAAATATAAACGCTATTGTGTAATTTATCCTTTTTTTTTTAAATGAAAAATTAATCAATAAATAAAATAATATTATTAAATAAAATTTGGACTCTGTCAACATACACCCTTGGCACTTTTATCAACAATACTTTTTCAACAACCATAAAATACTGCAGGTGTAGGTAGGTAAGGTGGAATGGAAGACGTCTACATTTTATCTGGTTTGACTGTCCTAACACAATTTGCTTTGTTGAAATTAGTGAGCATTGTGGCCCTACCAAATTTACTCCTGAATCATTTGGTAACCCCCATGTGTATCATCAAACGCTTAACCCGAGATATAAGGTTAATTACACCGATACCCCCTCAAGGATGAGTTTGGAAGTATTGCTGCGCTCCTCTCCGGGCCGAATGAGATTATTTTGATAATTATAACCGTTTATATTATAAGATTCGTTAGTTAAAATATCTATATCAAAAATTAAATTAATTAGACATTCATAATTACATAATCAAGGTCTTAAAAATATAAAATTTATTATCAAAATAATATTTACCTTTCATTTTTTTCAAAACTAATGTGATAATTATATAATTATAAATGTCTAATTAATTTGATTTTTTTTTTTAATGAATAATTTACTTGACAAATCCAACAATATAAACAATTTAGATTATCAACACAAGCCCGGTATCGACCCCCACAAGGGGCACAAGCAGCTGTTGTGCCTGACATGGCAATATCCCCTCATCCCTCGGGGATTAGTAAATATCACTTTACCCTTAATCCATGAAATTGTACATTTTGATCCCATTTATACCTGTATTTATACGATTTTCATAGTTGAAAAAGTCAAAATATACGAATTCATAGATGAGGAAGAGAAAATGATATTTGCTAATAGTTGAGTAGGTGTCCGTCTATATATAAATATATCATCTCGTCTTCAACATTACAACAAATCATTTTCTTCAGCAATTTTCAGAATTTATCCAGAACTACCATTTCAGCACAAATTAGATAAATTGATAACTAAAATATCGGGGATAAAAATGAAACAAACAGCACACTTTGGAGACTAACAGTGTATTTAGCCCTAAGCTTTAAGTCACGACTCCTAAATCTTTCATTTAAAATTATAAAGGGGAAAAAAACATTTATACCGAGCATATTCTGTATCAAACTTTATTTTATCTCACAACATAGAGGTGAGTCCAAGTCCAGCCAAACACAACCTTTCGCAAACATAAACATCGGCAAAACTACATTTATTTGTATAACTTACTGAAAAACCATGAAGAAGCAACAAACAACCCTCCCCCCAACCCAAATCAAAACTGCAATGTGACCTTAAAACCATGGTCCAGGTTTCACATTTCAAGAGTCGAATAGTGGGAGAGATATAACCTTTTGAAGCTAAACTTCAGGGTTCGAAAATCATATTCTCTGCCTCTCGCTTCAAGGAGTCAAACAGCACAGATGACAGATAACGCTCTCCAAAGCTAGGGAACACCACCTGTCGAAAAAAGAAATAATATTTGTAGAATTCAAAGATTTATAATAACAATATGCGATTTCCAACCAATTTCCAGTGATTGAGAGCAATGATCAAAATTTCATTTCAGTATGTTGCTTTGGTTAGATTAGAAATGGAAATGTTTGAGAAATGTTTCAGAGAAGGGGAATAAGTGACTTAATCATATGGTTGTTTTATTTTATCCAACGTAGTTTTCTCAGATTCTCTAATAAATTTCAGTTTTTTTTTCTTTGTTCTCAATTTATTTATTTATTTTTATTTTGACAAAAAAGAGGCAAATAAAAATAGCTTGTTTACTATTCCTAACGTATTGTAGTGTTCCGATGAAACATTGGAATTTCGGTATTTCACTAATTTTCATTATGGTTTCCTAAGAAATGGAAATGTTTTGGTAAACGAAATTTTGGCCCTTGATTGAGATTAAGGCTTGTCCATGGAGTTCAGTTCAGCTAAATTACTTGAAGAGTGAAGGGAGTGTTTATGCCATCAACTTTTTTACAGCCCTATGAGCAAGATAGTGTTGAATCAGCGGAAAGCAAAAAATAAAACTTACAACAATGAGTTTTCCAGCATTTTCTGGCCTCTTAGCTACCTTCATTGCTGCAGCGGCAGCGGCACCAGATGATATTCCAACCTGCAATACATGTCCCCACAAATCAACCTTGTGACCTTAAAAAAAAAAAAAAAACTGAACAAGAACTTTGGAGTTCAGTATTTAAAAAAGAGACAGCATTCCTACCAGCAAACCTTCTTTCAATGCAAGAAGCTTAGCAGTTTCGATAGCTTCCTCACTCGATACCTGCAAATTCATTCAAACATAATCATACAGCAATAATTATCAGACAATGCTTCTGAATCTCATGGATGAAAGACGGCAATACATGATGGAATAGTGATAAAAAATTACATTAGATTTTTTATACAAGTAAGCATGCTCTGTTACAACACATTCTCGTGTGAGTAATCACTATTACAACACATCAAAAGGTAAACTGCTCTATTTGAAACAACGTTAGACTCTTCCAGATGTTTACTAAACCAAATGAGACTGCCTTGTTAGAAAGTCTTTGAGGCTTACTTGAACAACTTCATCAAGTAAATTGGCATCCAATACTCCAGGGATGAAACCAGCACCAATTCCTTGGATTTTATGAGGGCCTAAATATTGCAGTATCCATACATTAAGTTAGAATAAAAGAACATATTTTTACAATGGAAAGAAAAAAGATGAATACAAATATGAAATTTTAAAATTCTAAGCATTAAGGAATGGTGTACCCACCCAAAAAATATTGATGTCAACAAAAATTGCAACTCAGATTAAGTGTATGAATATATCAACAATGAATTCAATATCATCAAAAAGGTATGGATTTTCTTTTTTTCATCATAATCAAACACACCATGATACAATTTACATTTACAAGGAATCACCGCTACTTACTCAGAACCTTACACAAAAGCAAGCACATTCTTATAGTTTGTCACAATTTCTATTATGTAATAATAACATTCTTTTCCACCGTTCTTCCATGTACAAACATGACATGAGTTCATCATAGTAAATAAATCCTGAACCAAATATCCAGTTGTCTTTATTCCTAAATTTTAGAAGTTGCCACTTACAAAACCCTAGCCAATTTCCCAAAATCATAGGTAAAAAGCATGCCTAATGATGATTGCCTAAACAAGTTCCATCAAAATCATTCATTCTGACTTGGCAGAGACAACAAAATATGTAAGCAAAAAAAATATTGCACCAGAAATACAAGAACACTGTTGACAGCAACCCAGAAAAGATAAATGCCAAAACATGTTAGAAATCATAACTCACCTGGCCTTCCTCCAGATAAAACTGCACTTTCGACTGGTTCTACGCCATATAGCTGAACATGAATAAAGAATAGCAAACCAACAACAAATGAAACAAGAGCATTAAAGTTAGTGACTTAACTAAAAGAAGGGAGAGAATTGGGCATTATGATTTTTCTACCAAAACAGAGAACGAAAAAGAGCTAACCTTAATCTCAGAGTTTTGGTCTTTAAGGTACCTTCCTGCACCTGTAATTGTCCCTCCTGTACCTATCCCAGAAACAAAGGCATCAACTTTCCCACCCGTGCCTTTCCAGATCTCTGGTCCAGTGGTTTCATAATGGATCTAAACAGATGATATCAATCAAATGATTAATCTATCCAATCAGCTACCAACAGGTGCTAAAAATACACAAACTCATAAAGTACTCGTGCAATAATACCTTTGGATTGGCAGGGTTTTCAAATTGCTGAAGAATATAGGCATTGGGAGTCTTTGCCAGTATCTCTTCTGCCTTTTGAACAGCCCCTTTCATGCCCCTGGCAGGATCTGTAAGAACCAATTCAGCTCCAAAAGCTCGGAGAATAATTCTCCTTTCCATACTCATTGAAGCAGGCATGGTAATGATGAGCTTGTAACCCTTAGCAGCTGCCATAAATGCCAAACCAATGCCAGTATTACCACTGGTAGGCTCAATGAGGACACTCTTCAGCAATGATCATTCAGGCAGACAATAACAAAGGAAAGTTTGTCAGGTTCAAATGACCATTGTAGAAGGAACAACACAAACTGCACAGGTATGCTCGCCGTAAATTGATATATCTCTTTTATATTCAGTTACTTAATACAGTTTAAACTAGAAACATTCTTGTGTGAGACTAATTACAGGAACTTCTCACTTTTATGGATTGTCACATACAAGGTAAGATGGTGAGGAATGAATTTACGGGATACTTTAATGTTTATAACCTTAATAACCTATACTAATATATAAAGCCAGAAGAACAAAAAGTAGAGTTGTGTCACATTATTCTGAATTTCCAATTGTTCATAATTGTCACATTTCAATTTCAACTTAAGATATGGATGAGGAAAGGTAGTTAAAATATCAATCAGATAGATAATTGAAGAATTTGAATATAATGGTATGGTCAGGGAAGTAAAATAATTATGGTGTGGGACAGTAACGTAGTAGATACTAGATATAATGTGTGACAACCCTCTAGTAATAACATAACAGAAAAGTAATCCAATATTTTCACATAACGTGGTGAGGTCAAGATATTAAAATCTCATTTTAGTATGTGTCCATATAACAGATCTAGATTCCACGACAACCAAAAAAAATCAAACAAAACAATAAGTAAAATAAAAAAATATATATGGATTTCGACTAACCTCGCCAGGCGTAATGAGGCCCTTCTCCTCTGCATCTTGGATCATACTGTACCCAATCCTAAATGCCAGGAATGATTTAATGTGTCAAAATCTATTAGCAGAGCGCCCATAAAACACATATAATCTAAAAAATATGATCAAGATTGAGATACTGTGAAGCAAAATAGCACAGAAATCATCTATCTCAAGAGCAAAAGGTATATACTCTATACCTGTCTTTGACACTTGAGCAGGGTTCCATCATCTCTAGCTTGGCAGCAATACGAGCAACACAACCATCCACAATGTTGTTGAGATACACGAGTGGTGTGTTACCTATCAACTGTCAAGTCAAAAACAACAAGATGAATATGATAAGCAATATCCCTTAATCATAAGCTCAAGAAGAAGGTAGGGATGAACAATGCTTACTTCAGTAACATCTTTTGCAATTGCACACTTCTCCGCCATTTGATCAAATCACTGTGCAAAAATAAAGATTTGAAGAGATCAGAAATAGCAATCAGATCGATTCTTCAAAGGGGGGAAGCAAAACAGGAAAATAATGCAAAAGCCCCAGGCCAATTGACACTGATCCAAACACAGGGCCCTGTTCAAATACATATTTACTTGATGGGAAATAAAGAATACTTGAAATTTTATATTCTTTTCTTCTAAATTTTCTCAGAAACCATCATATAGGTGACTAACTAGGAAACCATACTATATACTAAATAGATCTAAGGCTAAAAACCAAAAATTATATCTAAATAAACAATAATTTATCAGAAAATAAAAACCAAAAAAGCAGAAGTTGCATTGATACAAAAAAAGATAATTTCAAGAATGCAGGGTATATTCTACACCAAAATCCAAATACTGACATACATGCAATGAGGACTAGATGTTTCAGAACACTTGAACTAATCCACACACACACACATGCCAAGAAAGATATTGGCCTAGATTAAAAGTTCTAAACAAATCAAAGGGAAAAGGGAAAACCATAAACAATTAAAATGGGGGGGAATGAAAAACAGAAAGGAAAAAAGCTCAAAAAAGAATTACAGTGAAACACCATAAAACTAATCAGACAAAAAGGAAATACACAGTATGGTTTGTACCAAAACTCTGTTGTAATATATCGCTGGTGGGAAAACTGGGGGAATGGAAAGAAATTTAACACTGGCTTTCGATTTCCACAGAACAACACAGCCAAGTTAAATCTCAGCAGTTGTTCAGATTCTCAGATTTCAATACTTTCCTTTCCGTTTTCTCAGAAACCAAACAGATAACAAAACAACTTATCTAGTGCCAAACACACACATCTTCACGAAATGCAGACTTTTCGAAGAAGAATAAAAAAGATCAATCAATAGACAAGTCACATACGCAAGCAAAAAATGAAAGAAATTTCGTAGTAGAAAATCAAGCTTCTTTTGATTTCCACAGAACAAACTCAGCCAGTCTAAATCTCAGCAGTTGTTCAGTTTCTCAGATTTCAGCACTTTGTTTTTTTCATTTTCTCAGAAACCAAACAGATAACAAAACAACTTTATCTAGTGCCAATCACACATCACTTCACAGAATGCAGACTTTTTCGAAGCAAAATCACAGAGAGAGATCAACGAAGCAAGAAAATGAAAGAAATTTAGTAGTAGAAAATCGAGCTCCTTTTGATGTCCACAGAAAAAAATAAAAAATCAGCCAATCCAAACCTCAGCAGTCGTTCAATTTCTCAGATTTGAACACTTTCCTTTTTTATTTTCTCAGGAACCAAACAGATAACAAAACTACCTTATCTAGCGCCAAACACACACCTGGTCACGAAATGCAGACTTTTCAAAACAAAATCACAAAAATCAATAAAAACATCGAGTCAAATACAAACGATAAGATTGAGGAAAATTCCGAGTAGAAAACGAAGCATTTGTATATGTACAAAAAGTCAATCTCACCGAGAAAGCGGTCGCTACAAGCCAACGACCAAAGAAAAGAACAGCAAAGCAGAGCTTCAACGGAGATGAGAGAGAGACAGAAAGAGAGAGAGACAGAAAGAGATCTTCCAAGGGAAGGGAATATGTCCCTCTGTCCGTATCGCCACCGCTGTTTTTTGGATACCGGACGGCCTCTAAAATGGCTTTAGTTTTTTTTTGAATGGGTTAAAATAATTAATAAAATAAAGCACTCTCAATTTTAAATAGGGTGAAGGTGACTAAGGCATTGTTTGGTAAAAAAAATTAAAAAGTTATTATAAATTGTTATATTATTTTTTATTTTTATTTTTTTACATTTTTTTATAAAAAATTACTAAAATAACATATTCTCAAACAAGACTTAGGACTTTATATAGGAATTAAATATTTTAATCAAAAGTTACTATAAGATCTCGTTTAAGAATTTAATTAATTTTTGATTATTTTGGTAAGTTGAAATATTTGTATTTAGAAAGATGATTAAATTTTTTTGTAACGTGATATTTGTGAGATAAAAAGTAAAATGATTATAAGTTTAATGTGATATTTTATCTTACTAACTATTTTAACTTAAGAGTTGTTTGGGATGATCTAAATAAGTATATTTTTTTGTCTTTTTATGAAAATATGTGCAGAAAAATAGAGAGGTGATGTGATGGAAAAAATATAAAAAAATGGATTATATATGGGATGCCAAACTTGGCCTTATTTTGTCTTTTAGTATTATTTTAGCCTAAGGCCTCGTTTGGGAACCCTCATTTTTAGTCAAAAATTCAAAAAGTTACTAAAATTAGTCAAAAAGTCAACAACTCATACCAAAAAGTCAAAGATTCTCTTTTCTCTCTACTTTTTACACATCTTTTCGTAAAAAGCCAAAAAGTCATCACAAACATACTAGTTTTTTTAACTCATATTTTAGTCAAATAGCCAAAAAGTTACTAAATTAGCATGTTCTCAAACGAGACCTAAAAAGTCAAAAAAAACTTCTTTTTAAAGCACATCCTAAGTAATCACATCACTCACTTTACTTTTCTGCACATTTTACGTAAAAATCCAACAAGCCAGGAAGTATGTTGGTTTTTTGGCTTTAGCCTGAGGTTAAAAAGTTACTAAAGTTCGTTTGGGTTGAATTTCTTTAACTTTTTTTATTTTTGTAATAGAAAAAGTAAAATGATTATGGTTAGATGTCACATTTTGTCTTATTGAAAGATGGTTAAAAGTCGCTTTTAATCAACTTTTTGTCATATCATCTCTCACATTTTTATATGTTTTTTCAAAGAAAAATCAAAAAGTTAACTTTTAACCAATTATATTTTTGTGACTAAATTAGCCCTTAATCTCAAAAGAGTCTCATGCCAAACGGGGGCTAAAAAAGTATGTTCCCAAGCAAGGCCCAAATTAATATAAAAAGATAAAATATATTACTTTAATTAATAAAATAAAATATCACATTTAAATCATAATTATTTTATTTTTCTGTTACAATCATCACATCCGAATTAAAAAAATAAAAAAAAAATCAAACAAAACTAATTTAATCATATTACATTAACCAAAATATAAAAAAAATAAAACTAGGCCTCATTTGGCATGCAACAGTTTTAGCTTAAAAGTCAAAAAATTATTAAAAAACCAAAAACCTTATAATCTATACCAAAAAGTTAAAGGTTACGTTTAGTAAAGCTTTCTAAATATGATTTGACAGTAGGAGTTGTATTTTGAATTTGTGAGTTTTGAAATTATGATTTGAATGTGAAAAATTTCTTTGGTGAATGAGTTTTGAATTGAGTAAGAAATTTTTGATGTGACATATGATATTTGATACAAAAACTTACAATTCATAACTAAATATACAACTCAAAATTCTATTAAAGAACATTAAAAAATTTAAAAATTCAGAAAATATTTTTTTCGAATATATAAAAATTAGCATACGTAGTCCAAAATTTCTCACCTTCGACCGCATTTTCAAAAGTGAGTGTGAAATTATGATTTGAAACTCCTAAACAAACATCATATGCAAAATAAGCTCTGAAACGTTTCCAGAGCTGTACCAAACAGAGCTAGATTCCCCTTTCTTTCTACTTTTTACACATCATTTAGTGAAAAATTAAAAAATCATTCCAAAGTATTTGCTTAGTTAAAGTTTTTCAAAAACACTTTTTAGAAAATTCTACTTTCTTATTTTCTGTATTTTTCATTTTTACTAATTTTTTTAATATTTTAAGAAATTTTTTTAATTTTTAGACATACTTAACATAAATATAACTAAAAAAATTTTCACAATTTTTTTACTTTTTAGATACATCTAAGTAACGTGCATCTAAAAAAATATAAAAAAAATATTTAAAAATTTACAAATATTCACTAAAAACAAAAAAATACGAAAACCAAAAAACTTAATTTTCAAAAAGCTTAATTCAAAAAACTCAAACCAAAGACACTAAATATTATTTATTTTTTTACCTTATATTTTAATTAAAAAATAAAAAAAAAATTACTAAAATATATTATCCTCAAATGAGGCCGGCTCAATCACATCACATTTTCTATTTTAATTTTTTCGGTTCTTTTTTCTGGTATTGAGCAATTAATAATATTTTATTTTATTTAATGAATCTCAAAATTTGTTAAATTTTAAATAACAAATTAAAAATAAATTTATAAAATACATTTAATTTAATAAATGGATTAAAATAGGAAGTTATTAAATTTTCAAGATAATTTAATATAAAATTAAATACACTTTAAGAAAATAAAATGAGAAAGATACTAAATTCAAGGCAAATTAATACAATAATAACTACTAGTTTTTTTATTATAGAGAATTTTGAAAATTTTAAAAAATAATTATAAATTTGTGAGGAATTAATCATTTTTAGGGTCTATTGGCCTATTTTGAAAAGTAAATTAAACGGTAATTTTTTAATTTTTAAAAAAAATATGTAAAAAAAATAAAAAGATAATGCCACTAAAAAAACTAAAAAATTACCAAACTAACTTTTTAATCAAGAAAGTGGCAGCTGTGAGCAACAGTGCGGCCTGCTTTGGATATATGATTAAATCATATTTTTTTTCAAAAAATATAATGATAAATGTCATTTTCATAACATACTTTTTAACTCTTTTTTTCAAAACAAATAAGAACGGATAAACGGATAATTTGATTTTTACTTAAATAGCCTACTCAACAAATCATATAGTCTTCCTTTGGGAATAATTTTTTAATTTGACTTTTTGATTTTATGATTACTTTAGGTTAGTTAAGAAAATTTCATTTGGTGAGAATTTTGACTTCTTCATAGTTTTACGAGAGAAAAAAATAAAATAATTATAATTTTGATGTAATATTTTATTTTATTAATTAATACTTTTCAAGACAATCCTTAAGGTTGACCTTTTTAACATTATTCCAAACCTCCACTAATTCCAGGGTGTTTAGGAAGATTGTTGGATTAAAATAGCCCACTAAAATATAAAATAAGGTACATTACAAACACACCTCCTAAGATTTACTTAAATTATAAATTTCTCATGTGATTCTAGAAATTACATTATGCCCCTTAAGGTTTCTAATTTTATAACAAATAAGTCATTTTATTAATAAATCATAAAATTAATTAACATATTTTAATAATGTTAAAATTTTATTTCAATTAATAATTCAAATAATTTTATTATTGTATAAGTGAATAGTTAGAAATTTCACTTTTCAATTAATTTTGTTAAATAAAAAATTCTGACAGTGAGGTATTTATAATTTTCTAAACTACAAGAGGCAATTTATATTTTAAGCAAACCTCAGAGGGATGTATTTGTAATTTATCCTATAAAACAAGTTAAAATAACTAATAAGACAAAATGTCACACCTAATTTATAATTATTTTAGTTTTTCTCTCGCGGCCATTAAGGGGGTGTTTGGGACGAGAGTTTGGTTAAAATAGCTTACTAAAAGACAAAATATGCTAAAATAGTCAATAAAATAAGATGTCACATGTAACTAGTAATTATTTCTTTTTTTTTTCTCACAACCATTAAATTAATTATAAAAAATAAAAAGAAAAAGCCAATCAACTTAGATTAAAATAACCAAAAAGCTAAATAGCTAACTAAAATAGTCAATTTTCCAAACAAAGCCTAAATCAAAAAAATAAATAAATAAATAAAATTATAAACACAACTATTTTAGTCAAATTAAAATAAAATAAAATAAGGGTAAATTACAAATACACCTCCTGAGGTTTGCTTAAAATACAGATTGTTCCTTATGGTTTGAAAAATTACAAATGCTCCTTATTAATTAACTAAAAAAATAAAATTCATAATTGCTCTCCTATACAATAATAAAATTACCTAAATTATTAATTAAAATATATTTTTAATATCATTAAAAACTGTTAATTGACTTGATAATTTATTAATAAAATTGGCGATTTGTTATGAATTAGAAACCTTAGGAGTGAAATGTAATTTTCAAAATCATAGGAGACGATTCATATTTTAATCAAAACTCAAAAATATATTTGTAATTTACCCATAAAATAAAAGCAAATAATTAATTAAAATAACTATCTTCACAGACAAGACTCGCTAGGGTGGTTGAGCCATGATGACCACGACAAGCCAGGCAACCCATCCATTTGAAAATATATCAAAAAATAAAAGAAAAATTAAAAATACATTCCCCAGATTTGTTATTTGTAATTTTAAAAAATTCTCTGAGATTTATTTAAATTATAAATTATTTATAATTTTAAAATTTTCATTATTTATTTATTTATTTTTTAGAATTACATTATACCTTCTAAGATTTTTAATTTCATAACAAATAAACTCTTTTATTAATAAATTATTAACTTAATTAATAGTTTTTACTGATGTTAAAATTTTATTTTAATTAATTATTCAGATAATTTTATTATTACATAGGAGAATAGTTAAAAATTTATTTATTTTAATTAATTTTGGTAATTAAAAATTTTGACAATGGGATATTTATAATTTTTCAAACTATAAAAAATAATTTATATTTTAATTAAATCTCAGAATGTATATGTGTAATTTACCCAAAAATAAAAGATATAAAAATAAAGGTAGCTTGTATTTATAGAGCAAAGTCAACCTTTACACAAGCAATCTTATTATCAAAGTAATAATAATAATTTTATATTATCTCTTTATTTTTCTAAAATTCTAAATATTTTTCTATTTTTAATTAACAAATTATCTTTACATCCATCATCTTCATCGCTCATTCTTATTACTCTTTCCTTCATCTCTCTCTCTTTCTATTACTTTCACCATAATAGATAAAGATGACAGCAGGTTAGAGAGGTGATTAAGAAAAATTATTGGGGGCTGATAGGATACTATGTGACATGTTATATAGTGTCTTTAACTAATTATAAATACCATGGTCTCCCAAGGATGGATCGGGGGAGGGGGGCGCCGCACCCCAAAAAATTTGAAAAATATCATATATTATATTAGAAATTTTAAAATAATTTAAAATTATAAGAGTTCGCACCCCCAAATTTTTTTTAGATAATTTCAAAATTATATAGAGTAGCCTGCAATTTTTTAAACTATTTGGAATTTATGTTTTTTTGAATTATTTAACATATATAATAATCTATTTAAAATTTCATGTATATGTATTTTTTAAATTAGATCAAAATGAAAACAAAATTTTAAACACTTTAGTGGGTTAAAGTGTAAATATGAAACTTTTAAATATATATATATATATATTAGACAATCCAAGACTTGCTGGGGAAGCTTAAGAAGCACTAAGTCTAAAATAAAGTAAACAAAACAACCGAGTCTGAGAGGCAGCATAAGAGAGACGACCGATACGGAGTTACGGAGTGCAACGCAACGCCTAGCCCAACCCTTGTCTTGACTCCTCAAGAAGGTAATCAAATAAATTTGCTCTCAACTTTAATATTCTCATTGTTGATCTTTGTGGCTTTTTTGGGATTAAAGTTATATTATATCATATATGGGTTTGCTTTTTTGGGTTTGCTTTAAAGTTATATTATATCATATATGAGTTTGCTCTCAACTTTAATTTGCTTTAATTTTTTGGAAAGGGTATTAAATAAATTTGCATAAAGTTGGCTCAATTGTGAGATAGTGATGGATTGAGCTTATATTATACTCATATTTATGTCTATGTTGGTTGAAGTTTCAATAATTTATGTCTAAGATTAATTGGGATTTATGCAATATGTTTTCTTTTTTTTCTTCAGTTAGTTTTTTGAGCTTATATTATACTCATATTTCTGTCTATGCAATATGTGCCCCAATTGTTTGTTAGTTTTTTATTCAAATACAATTATTATTTATTTCTAAGAATTAATGGGCTTATTTGAGATGATTGTTTTGATATTTATGTCTGTTGATTGAAGTTTGAATATGGGTGGTGCAATTGTCTGCTAGTTTGTGATTCAGGTACAATTGTTAAGTTAATCATGGCGAACAAAAAAATTGATTTCTTCTTTAAGAAAAGAGGTTCTGAAAATATCGTTCAAAGTTCCACCAATAATGTTGAAACTTCAACTCCTTTGGAACAACGTCCTTCTAAACTTCCAAGAGTCAAATCTAAAGATGTTGATACATCTTCTTTGGTGAGGGATCCGGGGTTGCGTCAACAAATATGGGATTATCCGGTATCTCAATGTGATGAGATCAGACGTGCTTATATCAAATCCAGGCCATATCAACCCAAGGCTCTGAACAATCAACGTTTTGAAACTGATAAGAATGGGCGTCGTTTTTTTGATTCTTGGTACAAGTTATTTCTGGATTGGTTGGAATACTCTCCAACAAAAAATCGTGCATTTTGCCTTCCATGTTTTCTTTTTACTGAGCCAACTGGACACCCTGGATCTAGTGTTTTTACAGTCGAGGGATTTTCTTCTTGGAAGAAAGTCAATGAAGGGAAGAATTGTCCTTTGTTATCGCATATGGGCAAGGATCCTAACTCATCGCATAGAGTTGCTATCCAATGTTGTTGTGATTTAACAAATCAAGCGCAACATATTGAGGCAATTATTGAAAAACAAACTTCCATACAAATTGCTAGAAATCGTTTGCGATTGAAGACCTCGATAGATGCGATTAAATGGTTAACATTCCAAGCCTGCGCTTTCAGAGGTCGTGATGAACGCCACGAATCTAACAACCGAGGGAATGTTATTGAGTTGATAAAGCTCTTGGCTTCTTATAATGAGGATGTGGCAGCAGTGGTTTTGGAAAATGCTCCTCAAAATGCTTCCTATCATTCCTATGGGATTCAAAAGCGGATTCTTCGTGTTTTCTCTGATAAGATACAAAGATTCATTCGTGAGGAGATTAATGATGGGAAGTTTTGCATTCTAGTTGATGAATCTGAAGATGAATCGAAAAGAGAGCAAATGGCAATTGTTTTGAGATTTGTTGATAAATATGGTTTTATAAAAGAGCATTTCTTTGACATAGTTCATGTGTTAGATAACACGTCGGCAACTTTGAAAGAAGAAATTTGTATTGTCCTTTCTCGTCATAACCTTAGTGTGCAAAATATTCGTGGTCAAGGATATGATGGTGCCAGTAACATGTTTGAAGAATAGACTAGGTTGCAGGCTCTATTTTGTGCTGAGTGTCCATTCGCATATTATGTGCATGTACTAATGTCCATGTAATCAACCTCAAAATGCAACAATACTAACATGCATGCAAGAGATGAGCTTCAATCCACCATTAATGAACCAAATCATGACTTAGCTCTACAAATTAACATGAATCATGTAAGAATGGATTCTAAGACAACAACAAGAAGATGATGATGTCCTACCTTAGTCTTGTGTTCAAGGTCTAGGAGCTCAAAGTAGCAATCAACACTTCAATTCCAAGCGAAATCAAGCAAATCTCTCAAGAACAACTCAACTCTCTCTCACTCTCTAGCTTGGGTCGGTTGAGGCAAGAAGAGGAGAAGAAAATGTTTTGTTGAGTGTATTAGGAGATCAAAAAGGCTCAAGTAGTGGGCCACTCAGGTGGCAATTTGGTAAATAAATCAAACTATGCAATTGATCAATATTAATCTAATTTAATCATACCTAATCAATTTTCAGATAATTATACCATAAAATCACATTAATTACGAGGGTCACAGAACACTAATCGGTTTCAGATTCGGCCGCCGATAAGGCCTTCAACTAGCAGTTTAAACATATGAACATGAACAGATAATCATACAGTCAAACAGATATAATGCAATTTAACTAACATATACTCAATCAATTCGGTTTCCAGTTTCAGTCAGTCAGTTCAGTACTTTTAACCAGTTCAATTATCAGTCAGTATCTGTTTCGTTTAACAGTAATCGGTGATTATCGGTAATCAATCAGTCATTAATCAGTAAACAGTATGAGGGTTGTTACAGGTGTTTTGGTTCCATTTGATGTTATATGAATACCCTTTGTGCGATTTTTTCCCCCCTAAATGAGTGATTCGGTTTGGATGGAATAAGGCAATGTTAAGGTGTAAGAGGGAGTTTTGATTGTTTAATATTGATTTCATTGGTTTGAAGAGAGAGTGTGGGCATTATTGAGTGTGTTGTATTCTATTTTTTCAGTGGTGACCATAATCCGATTGTGTGACCTCTTTTTGGTGGTGTTTTGCAGGGTTTGCTCCGATGTTGCTTGCACCTATCATATGGTAACAGGCGAGCATTTCGATTGTTCGGTATATTTTACATTTGTACGTTTGTTTTGTGCATAGTATTGGTGGTGTATCGTTGTTGATTTTGGTTGTTGTTGTGATGATTTTTTGGGATTTAGTTGTCAGTGCAATGTGGTGCGTGGGTGTGTTGTGCGTCATTAGCATCACACACACATAGTTGATTTTACTACAAAAAAATTGGTTTTTTGCGACGGCAAAACGCCGTCGCAAATACTCCAAACGCCGTCTCAAAAGGTTTTTTGCGACGGTCAGTGACTTTTTGCGACGGCAAGTGGGGGGTCGCAACAAAGGGGGTTGCAAAAGGGTTTTAGCGACGGCAACGGCAAAATGCCCTTTTTGCGACGGAAAAATTCTGTCGCAAATAACACGTAAAAATCTGAATTTTTTTGAGACGGCACTGTGTTGCCGTCGCTAAAAATGTCTTTTGCGACGGCAAAAAATACCATCGCTAAAGGTTTATTTGAGACAGCCCTGAGCTGTCGTTAAAGGACTATTGGCGACGGCAATAAAACCATCGCTAAAGGCGTTACATTTCAACCAATTCCCTATCTTTTGCGACAGTAAAGGTGCCGTCGCAAAAAATCCTGATTCAAATTTTTTTTTTTGAGACGGTGTGTGCTGTCGTCTCCAAAAAAAAAAAATAAAAAAAATAAAAAATGTAATAAAATTATTAAAATTATGAAAATGACCTGTATTAAATGAAAAATAACTTTAAAAAAAATCGATAATTACATAATAATATAAAAAGTCCAGTATATAAATAAAAATTCATCCATAATTAAAAATATGAAAATGATCTTCCATTTTTTTCTTTTTGCTGTCGTACATTGTACAAGAAAAACTAACTAAGCAGTAATATAAAGCTAACAGAAAAAAGGGCATCACTAGCATCATCTCACTAAAGTTTAGCAATAAGAACATATATCTTATTCACATCTTCATGTCTGCCATGGCACAGATGATTTCAAATGAACAGAATGGAAAAACAAGGGAAAATTACAGCTCTCAACGCCGCCTTCTCCACTACTTTCACACTATGCACATATTCTTCCTTCAAGTCATCCGGTAGCCAATTACAAACCCTGAAAAATAAGGATTATATTAAAACTAGACTAAAACAAAAAATTTAAAATTAAAATGTGCATCCTTTGAAACCATCATTAGTCTAAATTATCAAGACACACCGACAATTCTCCAAGTCACAAAATCATACATCTAAACACCAATCCCGCAACAGGTGACAAACATCAAATGTCTGAAATAAAAGCCACTACATTAATATGGCTATGATATCACAACAATTCAAACTAATTGGCCACTAGTACATGAAATTAAATCCTACAAAACTAACCCAATTAAACATGCTTCCTGGAATACAAGATAACTACATTTGATTACCATCCATGCCGTGATGAACTCAATTAAAAATCCCACAAACCTGATTCAGCTCAACTCAACAAAGTCTGGAATTTCAAATTAAATTCCACTAAAATCATATTTTAACAAATTAGATAGCTTTAATTTCCATGGAACATATTAGCACCACAAAAACCCATTTGAACTTGGGAGAATGCAAATTTCATATAGAATGCTTGTGTTCCACACTAAAAGTATAATGAAATGTGGTTGTCAAGGAGAGTTAACTTCAAAGCAAAAAAAAAAGATTGCTATTTATAATTTCCATGCACACAGTGATCACACATTAAAATTAATTACTGTGCTGTGAGTATATTTATTATGTTCATAAAGTATGACCACCACAAGCATTCTTACCTTCTTTTCTGCAGCCATCTTTAATTTCGCCCAAAATGAATCTGTTAGGACACATCCCATGTAAACATGTTTATTTTGATTTCAACATCAACTATGCTTATATAAGAAACGTATGCAAGCAACATGGAATTGTGAAATGCCACAAATTACACATGAAATGAATGTCACACAGATGGGGAGAGAGAGAGAGAGATTAATGGGTACTCGCGGATACGTATCGGATACTTCTTAAAAGTATCGGATACTTCTTAATTAATTTTTTTATTAATTTGGAAGTATCGGATACTTAATTTTGAAGTATCGGATACTCGAAGTTACATATTAATTATAATATTTTGTTTAACTCTTTGATAAGAGGAATATAGTAAGAGTTAAAGTAATAGAATTTATTAAATTGATGTATCCTTGTTGTCTCTCTCACTTCTCTCTCGCTTTCTCACTCTCTCACGTTTCTTGTCTTTGCTCTCATTCTTTTTTTAGTGTTGGCATGTAAGGATGATGTTTAATTTGCATTTGCTTTTGTTTTTAGTTTTGGATGTTTTATGAATGTTTGAAGACTTTTAGGTTAATATTAATCTCTCTCTTTATTTATTAATTTACTTTAAGTTTTATTTTCATGCATATTACATTATTAAAATTATAAAAATATTTTTTTTTTTACGAACGTATTCCCGCCGTACCTATATCATACTTTTTCAAATTTTGACATATCGCCATATCCGTATCCGTGCTTCCTAAGTTATCATTGATGACTTAAAAAAGTATATGTGCTGAAATTTTTATTTAATAATGGTTTTTTGGCTTTAGCTAAGGTCCTGTGATATTCACTGATGAAGGGGAACAAGTTGAAACTATTGACCTTGAAGACTCTTAGTTTTATTAGAATCTTTCTTCTTTATCAAGTTGTCTTTTGTTATAGGTTTTATTTTTATATATACTGCATTATTAAAAATTGTAAAAATAATATTTTTACGAACGTATCTCTGCCGTACCCGTATCCTAATTTTTCAAATTTTTCCGTATCGCCGTATCCGTATCCCGTATATGTATCCGTGCTTCCTAGAAAAAAAGTGTGACAATTCACACCAACTAAGTTGTGTGCATTATATAATAGAACGGATAGATAGTATAGATAAATAAACAAGGGGGAAATCTATAATGTGCACCTCTGAAAAGGGGCACATTGTAAGAGAGTTATTATTTTTTTGTGGTGAAAGTTACCACTCTCTCCGTCCCAAAATAATGGTCCCTTTTGGGGAATCCAACTTTTTTTAGTAGTACAATTATTGCACTTTTAAAAAGTTGATTTTTCAAAATTACCCTTTGATAGTATATTTTTTTGGGAATATCAATGTCATAATTGTACTTTTTATATTATTTGTGAATTTAAAAGAAGGGCAAACTAGGAAATTTATATTATTTTTGTACTTGATTTTTGAAGAGGGACTAATATTTTGGGACAATGAAAAATGGAATAAGGGACTAATATTTTGGGACGGAGGGAGTAATTTTGTGGCATGTTATGCCAATTTGGGGTAAAAGTTAAAAATAGCGAATTTATTGATTAGAGTATCAGTTATTGATACATTGGGGCATCAAGGCCTACAGCAGAGGGTGCACCAATCAAAGAGGTTCTTAAAGTAAAAGTTATACTTTCCAATAATTATGAAGAATCCGTTAAGGTCCAACACCGTTGCATGGTATATGCGTCCAACCTTTGTACTCAAATTTAGACACTTGGATCCTCTAATAATTAACAATGTTCAGAACAGAAGCTCACATTTGATAGTAAAGAAAATTTTTTAGCCTCACATGAATGGGGGATAGGTATCTCCTTTTTCCCCTAAATCACATTTTATTTCAACTATATTTCCAAATAATAACATCATCTTATGTCATAATATCATACAATAGACAATATATTTAAATGTTCAGGGAGTGTCCACAACTCCACGTATCCATAACCAATTTCTAGATACATAAGCCTATACCACAAGATTAAAGGTTTAAGGAGGTCTGACACCCCAATTTACGAACTGACCACGATCAAAAAACAGTCTCTGCATAAATAGAGACAAAATGTTTCTTAATCCATTCCCATACCAATTGTCATCTACTTCAATTCTACAAACCAAAAAAAGAGCTACTGTCAAAGAATTCCAACTATGTTTTCTCTGAAATCCAGAAACCTGATAGTTTCAAAGTCAAGCCAATTTCAGTCATATTTGATCTACATACCTACTACCCTTTTCTTACAATTTATTAGAACCTTAAATCTTGAAACTATAATTACTAAATATAATTACAATTTATAGTTTCAAAGTCAAGTCAATTTTTTCAAACTATAATTACTAAATATAACTCTATATATTTATATACAATTAAAAATATATATAATGTTTAAAATAAAATAAATTATCAAATAAAATAACTCTAAATTCATTCAAGAGAACAATTCAAACCATATTTTGTTGAAACTCGTATCAAATTATATGAATCAAATCGGATGATTCTAACAACCATGAATGTAACAGCTAGCACTGAAATGAGACCCCCCCCCAAAAAAAAAAGTAGTAGAGAAAATTGTGAAGAAGATACTTCCTCATTCTGTGGAGGTTGAGCAGTCGATTGTCGTGTTGATGATACTGAATTAGCCTAAAATTGTAGTAAAAGAGAAGTCGGTCCAAAACAAGCACACAGATTCCAAAACAAAACAAACACGCAGATTCCAAAACAAACAGAACAGATCTGTTGGTCCAAAACAAACAAACAGAACAGATCTGTTCGATCGGTGCAGAGATGAGAGATCAGGGGGAGAGAGAGAGAGAGAGAGAGAGGCTTACCTGTGAGTCGATCGGTACAGAGATTCAAAACCAGAAAGTGAGACTGATGAGATGAGAGAGTGAGGGAGACAGATCAGATCAGAGAGATATCTGATATATATATATATATAAAACAAAAAAAAAACAACGATCGGGGCGAGAGAGAGAAAGAGACAGATTGAGAGAGAGAGTTTACCTGTGAGTAGATCGGCGGTGCGATGATCGGTGCGATGAGATGAACAACGAGAGAGTCAGAGAGTGATCGGTGCAGATATGAAGAGAGAGAGAGAGAGACAGTGATGAGTTGAACTTGAGATAAGACTGGGAGAGTGAGGAGACGATTAGGGTTTTTTCATTTTGGTAGAAATTAGGGAATTTGGTGCCAAGAGATTGGGGATTTTGAGGGGCGCAGGAAAGGGAAAAAATGGGGGAACCGAGCGGGCGGAATTGGGGAAAAAAATAATAATAATAATAATTTTTAACATAAATGAATATTTAAATAATAAAAAAAATAATAATAATTTTCATTTTTATTATAAATGAATATTTAATGAATGAAAAATTATTATTATTATTATTTTTTATTTGGTAGAAGTAAGGATAATATTTTAATGAAAAATACTTTCTATTAAGAGTGATGAGTGAGAGAGAGAGACAGAGAGAAAGAAAGAGAAACAAACAGACAAAGAGAGAAAGAGATAGAAAGAGAGACAGAAAAAGAGAAAGAAACAAGAGATGAGCGATACAAAAAGAGAGATAAAGAGCGAAAAAAGATGAACAAGAGAGAGAATAGAAAAATAGAAAGATAGAGAGAAGAGAGATAAGCGAGAGAGACAGAAAAAAAGAGATGAGCGAAAGAGACAGAGAGAGAAAAGAGATGTAGTTATAGAGGAGATGGGTGGTGAGAGAGAGAAATGAGTGAGAGACAGATAGAGGAGAGAGAAAGACAGAGTGATGAGCGAGAAAGAGACAAAGTGGTCGCTAAAAGTGCATTTTCTTGTAGTGGATCGATAAATCGATAGGGAGCTCAATAAATAAAGAAGACAGATAATTCAAAACTCTGTTCAAAACTTAATTCAAATCAATTTTTTTAATATTTTTAAAATATTTTAATTTTGTGAGAGACAGATAAAGAAGAGAGATAGAGAGAGAGACAGAGATAGAGTGATGGGCGAGAGAGAAAGAGACAAAGTGGTTGCTAAAAGTGTATTTTCTTATAGTAGATCGATAAATCGAGAAAGAGCTCGATAAATAGAGAAGATGGGAGTAAGAGAGTGAGCAAGGCGAACATAGTGAGGGATAAATAGACAAATAGACAAATAGATAGATAGAGAGAGAGAAAAGAGTGATGAGTGAGAGAGAAACAGGGAGAGAGAGAGATAGACAGAAAAAGTGATAGAGAGATAGATAGAAAAAGAGAGAGAAACAAGAGATGAGCAAGAGATAAACTAAAAGATAGAGAAAGAAAGTGAAAAGAGATTAACGAGAGAGACATAGAAAAAAAAAGACAGAGAGAGTGGTAATGGTAGTGGTCATAGTTCCACCCATTGATTTAAGTATGGTGTTTGTTTTGAGCTTTCAAATCATAATTCTACATCAATTTTTCAAAACTCAATTCAAAATATAATCATTACTCTTCGAAACTCATAACCAAACACATAATTCAAAACTCTTTTAAAAGCTTAATTCAAATCAATTTTTTAAATATTTTAAAAATATTTTAATTTTGTGAGAGACAGATAAAGAAGAGAGATAATGAGAGAGACAGAGATAGAGTGATGAGCGTGAGAGAGAGACAAAGTGGTTGCTAAAAGTGTATTTTTTTTTATAGTAGATCGATAAATCGAGAAAGAGCTCGATAAATAGAGAAGATGGGAGTAAGAGAGTGAGTAAGGCGAACATAGTGAGGGATAAATAGACAAATAGACAGATAGAGAGAGAGAAAAGAGTGATAAGTGAGAGTGAAACAGGGAGAGAGAGAGAGATAGACAGAAAAAGAGATAAAGAGAGAAAGAGAGAGAGAGAGAGAGAGAGAGAGATAGAAGGAGAGATAGAAAAAGAGAGAGAAACAAGAGATAAGCGAGAGATAAACAAAAAAAAGTGAGAAATAGAGCGAAAAGAGATGAGCAAGAGAGAGACACAGAAAAAGAGAGAGACAGAGAGAGAAGAGAAATGGGCGAGAGAGATAGAGAGAAGTAGAAAGATAAGAGAGAGAGAAAAAAAAAATAAATGAGAAAGATAGAGAGAAGAGAGATGAGCGAGAGAGACAGAGAGAGAAAACAGATGAGAGAGATAGAGAGAAGAAAGATAGGCGAGAGACACAGAGAGAAAATGAGAGAGAGAAACAGATAGACAGAGAAAGAAGAGTGATGAGTGAAAGAGATAAAGAGAAGATAGAGAGATAGAGATAGAGAGACAGGAAGATGAAAAAATGAATGAAAAGAGAAATGTTATATCAAAAGAGTAAGACGACATTATTTTTTTAAAATTTTTTTTGCTACAGAAAAATACCGTTGAATTTATTCAAACCATTTTGTGACTGTATATATATATATGAAGCTATCTCAAAACCACAATCACTATGCTAGGTTAGAGTTTTCAAAAAACTCTTTTTGAGAAATTATACTTTCTTATTTTCCGTGTTATATTGTTTTTACTGAATTTTTTTAATATTTTAAGTATTTTTTTTTAATTTTTAGACACATCTAACATAAATACACCTAAAAATTAAAAAAGTCGTAAAAAAAATCTTTTAAAAATTCATTAAATACCAAAAATAATTATTAAAGAAAATACAATAATTCAATACATTTTTTTTTGTATTTTTATGTATTTATTCATTTTTAAAAATATTTTTTCATTATTTTTTTATTTTTTAAATACATCTAAGTAAGGTGCATCTTAAAAAAATATTTAAAATTTTAAAAATATTCACTAAAAGCAAAAACAAAAACACGAAAGTCACTTTTTGCGACGGCAGAAAATGCCGTATCAAAAAAGTAGAGTATTTGCGACGGCACCATTTGCCGTCTCAAAAAAGCAGAGCATTTGCGACGGCACTATTTGCCGTCTCAAAAAATGAGAGTATTTGTGACGGTATTTTCTGCCATCACAAATACTCTCATTTTTTGAGACGGCAAATAGTGCCGTCGCAAATGCTCTTCTTTTTTGAGACGGCAAATGGTGCCGTCGCAAATACTCTGCTTTTTTGAGACGGCATTTTCTGCCGTCTCAAAAAGTCGCAAAAAGTGACTTTTTGAGACGGCAAGTGTGCCGTCGCAAATAATTCCGTCTCATAAACCCACTTTTCTTGTAGTGTTTTATGATTGCCATATCAAATATCGTTTGTTATTTTATATTTTCCGTATATGTTGGTGTTGTAATAGGGTTGGAAATGTTGGTTCGACATGTATAGATCATACAAAAAAACTCTTTATTGTACTTTTTCTAAACTTAACACTCCAAAAAAATGATGTGAGATTGTTTAAATAATTCAAAAAAGAGTACAAAAATTCCTTAGTAAGTTTTGGACAAATATATAATTTCATACTGTAAGTGTTACGTTTGAAAAAAGTACACTAATGAGTTTTAAAGTATTTTTGTGTGTTACATTAGAGTACATTACATTAGAGTGTTATATTTAAGATTACATTGATTGAAGTATTATATTTGAGAAAAGTATACTAAGATTTTTTTTTTTTTTGGTGTTATGTTGTTACGTTTGGAAAAAGTACACCAATAAGTTTTTTAGTATGTTATATTGAAGTGTTACGTTTTGAAGTGTTATATTAGAGTTTGGGTTTTTATTCGTAATGTGTGATTTGTTCTAGAATGAGGGAAATCTAAAGCTTCTATAATACAAATTGCCCAAACATGTAATTTCGTATTTTGAAAAAAATCACTTTTATCCCTAAAAAATTAAACTCAAACATGTAAGTAACTACCTTTTTATATAATTTCCACTTCAATAAACTTTTGAATTTATAAAAAAAAAATTGAAGACTAAACCATTCACAAAATCACATTTTAAAATTTATTGATGTTTCAACAAGAAAAACATTGCAGCCTAATTAAACTACAATAATACGTTCAGTTAAAAATAGATTAGTGGACACTAACTTAAAGAATATAATATAATAATATTATGTTTATTAAAATGCTCCAACAATGACAGTTTGGCCGAGTGGTCTAAGGCGCCAGATTTAGGCTCTGGTCCGAAAGGGCGTGGGTTCAAATCCCACAGCTGTCAATCTAGTTTTTACTTTTATTTTTTATTTTATTCTTCAAAACAAATTATTTTTTTGGTAAATAAAACAAATTATTATTTATAGGTAAACTACTTTTGAGATTTGAAAAAAATAAAATAAATTCCATAATTTCTTGAATAATAATTGGAACATCTATGAAACTAAAGAAATTCTACCTTGTTCTTAGCTCAGCTTTGGATCCTAGGGATGGTTATAGATCATTCAACATTGAGGATATTTGCAAACTTGGAGATAAATTTTATCCCATGGATTTCTCCGAGCAAGAAAAATTGCATTTGAAGTATCAGTTGGAAAACTATAAGCTTGATATTTCCATACTTCCCGAGTTTCAGAAGCTGTCAACCATTTCTGAGTTGTGCCAAATGTTGGCAAAAACAAAAAAGTCGACAAGTTATCCTCTTATTGATAGATTGATCCGTCTTGTGTTGACTTTACTTGTTTCAACTGCTACATCAGAACGTGCATTTTCAGCTATGAAACTCGTTAAGTCTAAATTGCACAATAGGATGGAAGATGGTTTTTTGGCTAGTTACTTGATTACGTACATTGAAAAGGACATTGCTCGAGGGTTTGATGTAGACTTTATCATCGATGCTTTTGATATTATGAAAGAACGTCGAGCTCAATTGAAGATGCCTAATTTTAGTAAATAAATGCATGTAGAAATAGTTATTACCTTTTGTAAGTGAATATGGGCAAAAAAATATTCTCAATTGTATGATCATCTTTTGGTACTCAACTATGTTGACAAGGAATATATAGTTCAATATTTTATCGTAACATTATTGATTTTTTTCATACTAGTAGAAATTGGTATTGAATTTCAAATTTTATTAGTTAGAGGTTAAACGTACTTTGGCCCCCCCAAAGTCATAATCTTGGATCCGTCCCTGTGGCCTTCCATGTTGTCTCCTCATTACCTAATCCATAAATATAACCCTTACTCTCTCAACCAATGAGAGAAGAGAAATGTACCACATGGCACTTACTCTATCTACACTCAAAAATTTCTCGATGATTAGGAGTGGTGGCATGAGGACATCATTTTATGAGACTTTTTTATTTTTATTTTTTACATTCAAGTTTTATTCAATCAACTAGGGTTTTGTTGGTATTTTTTCATAATAATACAAGAAGAATATATAAAATAAATTAAATAGAAATGATAA